TTGGATGTTTCATCCAACAGGCTCTCTGGAAATGTACCTGATTTCTTTCATAGCTTTCCGAATATAAATTATTTCTCAGCTCATTCGAATAATCTGTCTGGCGGGATACCTTCATCATTGTTGAATTCACAAACCATTTCTTATCTTAACTTGAGAAAAAATTATTTGGATGGTTTAATCAAATTTAACTGTTCGATAATGGTTAATCTTACTTCACTTGTTCTGGGCACAAACAACTTTTCTGGTTCAATAGCTCATCTTCCTTCTTGCTCCAAGTTAAAAGCTATAAATCTTGCCAGGAACAGACTCATTGGCCAAGTCCCAGAAAGTTTCAAGAATTTTCAATCTCTTTCTTACCTTTCACTCTCCAATTGCAGCCTCAATAACCTCTCAACATCTCTTAAAATCCTCCAGCACTGCCCCAATCTAACAGTTTTGGTTCTTGCCATGAACTTTCATACCGAACAGTTGCCATCTGATGATGACCTACAGTTCAAAGCACTCAAGGCTCTTGTGATTCCCAATTGCAGGCTAACGGGCAGCATTCCGTCGTGGCTAAACGGTTTAACAGAGTTGCAGTTGTTGGATTTGTCATGGAACCACTTGACAGGATCAATTCCGGCCTATTTGGGGGCTTTTAAGTCTCTGTTTTACTTGGACTTATCGAACAATTCCTTGTCGGGAGAGATCCCCAAGAGTCTAACACAGTTACCGAGCCTGATTTCAAGAGAGATCTCATTAGAAGAACCGTTCCCGGATTTCCCGTTCTTCAAGATAAGAAACACCAGCTGTAGAGGTTTACCGTTGCAGTACAATGAGATCATGAGCTTTCCACCATTGTTAGACCTGAGTAGCAACTTCCTCACTGGCCCAATCTGGCCGGAGTTTGGGAACTTGAGAAAGCTACATGTTCTGGATTTGAAACGCAACAATTTATCAGGTAGGATTCCGGGTTCTTTATCAGGCATGATGAACATAGAGATGCTGGATTTGTCATATAACGATCTGTCAGGAACAATTCCACCATCTCTGGTGAGGCTAAGTTTTTTGTCCATATTCAGTGTTGCTTACAATAATCTGAGAGGGTCCATCCCTTCTGGAGGCCAATTTCAGACCTTTGCGGACTCTAGCTTCGAGGGGAACCAAGGTTTATGTGGTGGAATCAATTAATATCGATTTAAAATGTGAGAAGTCTGAAGAATTTTTGCCAACTGATCCGACATCTGAGGAGGATGATGAATCATCTATCATTTGGATGGTTGCAGCAATTGGGTTTGGAACTGCATTCCTTGTCACTGTTATGGTTTTGGTTGTTGTTCCTATAATTAGGGATGCAAACTAAATTAATTCATAAAGTTTGTTATCGTTGGTTGTTCTTTCCCATGGCTACTTGGGGGGTGTGTGTATATACAAAGGGGTTCATTCAAGGGAGAATTGATTAGTTTGTGGTAATTATGAGATCCAATTTCAACCACAAATCAACGGATAAATTAGGAAATTAATAATTATGGTAATTTGAGTTAAAATTATAATTAGAGGGTTTTTTAGGTATTTTAAAAAACTCTTCTCTCCTCTCTGCTCTCTCATCTCTCCGACCTCCAATCTTCGGCCTCCGGTGAATATTAATCCGGCAGGTACCAAATAATCACAAAGATACACAATGTGATACACATTGTGATATACAGTGGTACCCAAATGGTATCACGGTATATCACAATGGGTATCACAGTATATCACAATGGGTATCACATTGTGTATCTTTGTGATTACTTGGTACCTGTCGGATTTTTATTCACCGGAGGCCGAAGAGATGAGAGATGAGAGAGGAGTTTTTTTAAAATATCTAAAATGCCCTCTAATTATAATTTTAACTCAAACTACCATAATTATTAATTTCCTAATTTATCCGTTGATTTGAGATTGAGATTGAATCTCACAGTTAACACAAACTAATCAGTTTTCCCTTGAATGGGCCCCTATATGTGTGTGTGTATATATATAGTTATAGAGGGTAACGATCAAATGCAAACCACTCAATTTGTACAAACCGTGCCAAGCACGTTTATTGGTCAATTTCGTTGTTTAATCTTATTAAAATTTTTCATGAAATTGTTTGATCTTGTGAAATTGTTTGATCTTGTGAAATTGTTTCATATAATACTTTTTTTGATGAACTTGTTTCATATATGGTTATTAAATTGTTTCATATAATACTTAATTAAATTTTAATGAAATTGTTTCATGTATTTTCTCACAGAATTAAAATAATGAAGATGATAATATCCATGATTAACACTCTCCACAATAAAAATGATCCTCTCATAATTACAAAAAAATGAACAAAATGAAAAATTATGATTGGTTGAATGAGGTTTGTACGGTTTGTACAAATAACGTGGTTTGCAAAGTAAAAATTCATCATCTTTCTCTCTCTCTCTCTCTCTCTTTATATATATATATATATATATATAGAGAGAGAGAGAGAGAGAGAGAGAGATGAGCGATCAAATATAAACCACCCCCTTTTGTGTAAACTCTACAAACCAATCTCATCTATCCATTTTCCAGATCAACGGTCATGATTAAAATGTGTTATATTACGAAAGAAAAAAAATAAAATAAAAAGTTTAATATTTAATCAAGAAAGGGAAAATTTGGCAAACCATTGTTGTCTCATTTTTGGAAATTGATATCATCAATAAAAACATTTTGGAAACTGTATCTCATTTTTTCGTTAGTGCAATTTGTTCAATCATTCGTCTGTATAATGAAATCTGAGCCATATATGGTTCAGTCAATGAAATAATTAAAAAAAATGTAACCAACAAAATTTGCATGTGACATTCACAATGGCAAGACATAGAATAATTAAGAAATGTAACCGAAAATTAATTTGTTTTAAAAGAAAGATCAAATAAAAAGTTATATTTTTACCCTTATTAAATAAATTTATCATTTGCATCAACCAAAAATGTATCTTGTTTTTTATTGGTTCATTGAGGTTTATAAAATTAACATCATATATTGGGTTAACAAATAAACGCGCGCGCACACACACACACACACACACACACACACACACACACACACACATATATATATATATAGGGGCACGTTCAAATGAAAACCGTGCATTTCTAAGAAAATGTGTAAACCAATTTCGACCAATAGAAAATTTCTATTTTTTTCTAATTAAATTTAATCAATAAGGGTATTTTGGTCATTTACAATATGTTCTATTAAATATGGAATTTATTAATAAATCTTAATTAAGAAAACATAATAAAGAAAATTATATAAATGGTAACATTTAAATATTTAATTATATTATAATATTAAAATTTTGAATTTTATATATTGTTATGAGATTGAATCTGCAAACGGGTCTTGAAGATTGAATTCCATTATGGAATGAAATCGTAAATTATGGTTCAAATTAAAAAAATAATGTTAATGAAACAGATTTCATGAAGGTGAAACTAGTTAATGTTGTAATTGATTCATGAGTAATATGGAATCGTTTCATTGTGAACCACGTTTCAGTGATGGTGTAGTTGATCCATTAGTAGAAAAAATGGAACATGAAACGAGTATATAATTTATTTGGTTCGTCATGAAATAATTGCATGATGAAACGGGTACATGATGAATCTGTTTCGGGATCTTGAAGATTGTAATCTGCTCCAGAATTTTGAAGATTCTAATCTGCTCCAGAATTTTGAAGATTGTAAGAATTAAAGGAAAGAATGCATCAAATCATGAGTGAAATAAAAAAATTAATTTACATGAAACATGTTTAATGAAGATAAAACTGGGTCATGTTGTAATTGATTCATGAGTAATATGAAATTATTTCATGGTGAACCATGTTTCAGTGATGGTGTAGTTGATCCGTTTAGTAGAAAAAATGGAACATGAAACTGGTGCATAATTTATTTGGTTCGTCATGAAATAATTGCATGATGAAACGGGTACATGATAAATCTGCTTCGGGATCTTGAAGATTGTAATCTGCTCCAGAATTTTGAAGATTGTAAGAATTAAAGGAAAGAATGCATCAAATCATGAGTGAAATAAAAAAATTAATTTACATGAAACAAGTTTCATGAAGATGAAACTGGGTCATGTTGTAATTGATTCATGAGTAATATGAAATCATTTCATGGTAAACCATGTTTCAGTGATGGTGTAGTTGATTCGTTTAGTAGAAAAAATAGAACATGAAACGGGTGCATAATTTTTTTGGTTCGTCATGAAATAATTGCATGATGAAACGGGTACATGATGAATCTGCTTCGGGATTTTGAAGATTTTAATCTGCTCCAGAATCTTGAAGATTGTAAGAAGTAAAAGAAAGAATACATCAAATCATGAGTGAAATAAAAAAATTAATTTACATGGAACAAGTTTCAAGAAGGTGAAACTGGTTCATGGCGTAATTGAACAATGAGTGGTGAACGCCGTTTCAGTGATGGTGTAGGTGATCCATTCAGTAGATGAAATGAAAAATGAAACGGGTGCTTAATGTAGGCGGTTCGTCATGAAATAATTGCAAGATGAAAAATAAATTAGTTTCATTAATAATAATAATAAATGTTAACGTAAAAATAATAAATTACTTTACAAAAAAATAGATTAGTTTCATTAATAATATGATATGGTTTTCTTGAATAAATGAATATTTGGTTTTACCCTTTTGCCCTTATCGGTATTATAAAATGTATTTTCAATTTTTTTTATTTTTAATTTTCTTAAATAACATTGATTAATCTTAACCATTGATCAAGAAAATAGATGAGTGAGATTGTTTTACACGGTTTACACAAATGGAATCGGTTTTTATTTAATCGCTCATATATATATATATATATATATATATATATATATATATATATATAGACTTGGGATCATGTGAGATCAGTGGTTT